TGAAAACCTTGACAAAGCACAGGCTCGTCAAAAGAGCTACTACGACAAAAAGCGCTCCAAATTGGAGTTTCGCGAAGGCGAGTTTGTAATGCTAGCGACACGCAACGTCCCCATCAAGCATGCGAAGTTGGTGAACAAGGATGAGAAACCAAAGTTAGTACCGAAGTTCATTGGTCCCTTTAAGATCATACAAGTCATCAACCCGAATGTTATGAAGTTGGAGTTGCCTAAGAGCATGAAGCGTCTTCACAACGTCTTCAATGTTGATCGACTGAAGAAGTGCCCTGGCCAAACGGATCGGTTTACCAACCGACCCATACCCAAAGCGACTCCAATGCTTTTGGATGACAGTAGCCACGAAGTCTTCATCGTCGAAGCGCTGCTGAAGCAACGGCAGTTCAACCGCAAGAAAGAGTACCTCCTGAAGTGGCATGGATTGCCCGAATACGAAGCGACCTGGGAACTTGAGCGGGACATCAAACATGTTTCCCATTTCAAGCGACTGGTTCAAGATCTGCGAGCGAAGATATAAGCGGCGAAGTCGATAACCGGGGGAGAATGTAGCGACGTCACTCCAGTGGCGTCATAGGGTTATTGACCAATCCGAACAGACGTCACTGTTGACGTCAGTTTACGAGCAAGCTCGATTGGCGTGCGGCGTGCTCGGCCATGGACACCAGAAGTTCCTTCTGCATAGCGCACGTATGTATAGCATCAGACACAGTATAGTCAGAGTAGTCGTGCATGTAGATAACGCCAATCAATCAGTTTTACAATTTCCTCTGCGTTATCAACTCCCTACAAAGGTGGTGGATTGCAACGAAGATGGTGTGGCGTGGACCTACGGAAAAGGAAGTGCAGCGATTATGAAGGACGGCCACCATGACACTCTTGGATGCCTTCGTCCATCGCGAATTAGTATAGAATAGCTCCGCAGATTCTGTTGGTCCGTGACGGTGCGGCACTGTCTTATAGGCGAAATGGAGAAACATTCACATATACACTCAACGGTTGCAGGTATTGTAGTGGAGTACAGAGATTGTGGAGTATATACCAATATAACGACTGCCGCAGATAGTGAAGTGGTTTGGTGGACATTACAGTGGCCGTCTAGCGTAGTCGTCGCACTACACTGTCCGCTGCCGCGGCCACACTACAACACCCTCCATCATTCATGCACTCCTAGTCTCCACCTCCCGCCACCTCGCACGCGGCGGGTGGCAGACGGGGGAGCGTAACAAAGATGGTGGAAGTATATATCGTGTTGCGTGGACCTACGGAAAGAAGTGCAGCAACAGAATGAACAACCACCACTAAACACTACTGACTACCGTCAGGAGTGTACTCGACAACAGCGGATTGTAGAGTTTAGCGACGGTTGAGGACATCGCAATATAGCGCAGCAGGTGCTCCGGTCGTTTGGACGACTCGATGATTGCAAACGCATCCTTTTCTCTGCATATGGTGTGTGCATCGGTGGAGATCACAGTGGCCATCCACCATCATTACCACACCCCACTGTCCGCCGCCGTGGCCACACTACACTGTCCTCCATCATCGACGCACTCCACTACACGCCACCGTCGCCCCAGGTAGAAGAAAAACGGTCACCGCTGCACTTGGCGGCGGTGATGGACGGTGCAGTGCTGTAGTGCATCCATGATGGAAGACATTGTAGTGTGACCGCGGCGGCCAACAGTGGGGTGTGGCAATGGTATTGTAGACGACCACCGTGATGTCCATCATCATCGAGTACTACACCGAGCGATTCTAACGAGTGTCTCCCGCAGCCTCCGCGATCGCAGGTAAGTGGCTTCCGTAGTTCCATCACGGTGTGGAATCGTCTCCTTACCGGCACTACCGTGGATTCCCTAATGTTAAACTAACTTCGCGTTGCGTCAACTACTTGAGAGCACCTGGGCAAGGATAAGCCGTCATCGCATGGCCTAGCTTAGCACTGCAGTAAAACACCGCGTTTGCCGAAATTTCATCGGCAAACACCCCTGTTAAGCAAACCTTGCTCGGAAAACCAGCCAGAAATTCCTCTGGTATCCAACCAAAATGAACCAAACCCTTACGATCTATAAAATCACCTCAAATTAGAGCATGGAATTACTAAAATGAGTGGTACGTTTGGTGCTTCGTTTTACTAAAACGAAGCTGGACTCAACCTAATACTATGTAGGTCCATGTTTAAAAGAGGGGATTTAGTCCCAGAATAGCCAAAAGTTGTGAAAAGCACAATGCAAACTGACACCATAAGTTGTCTGTGAAATATCTGGATGCCTGCAATTTTTCCTGTAAATTCCAAGAATATCACAAATGTAGAGCCAGGACAAGTGTCAGGAGAAAAATACGTCAAATCAGCGTACTATATCTGTGACATAATTGGGGCAAAGCACCCGATAATTCTGGTGGATTTTTCTAGTTTCTGGTCAAATGTCGTTCACATCAACAAGATGACCAGAAACTAGAAAAATCCTCCATAACTCAAACTCTAAGCGGGTATGACTCGTACCCGCTTAGAGTTAGGTTGTGCCGGGTGATGCAAACTGTATCCGGTATCATCATGTAGTGTCGCAGGTTAATAACAAACTTCTGTTGTGTTATAGAAAAACCTAAGCTTACAGTTCCCAGTAAACAATTAGTAACTCTCAAGAAGGGAGCCCACTTCCGGATAATATCCGGTCATCCGGAATTATCCGGTGTTTCGTGTCTGTAGAATCCCTCCTCAGTGCCCTCTTGCAGTAACCATTAACAATTTAACCTATGATTCATGAATTGACATACGGAACTATTTTGCAGAATCAGATGACGGGCATCCTGAGGGCAACTTCCAAGTCGTTAAAGTTACAGTGTACTATTTATTACTAATAATACCTCCGTCCCAGTTTAATCACACCAAAGATTCTCGGAGTACTTGTACTACGTTTGTATCAAGGGCAACGATGTCGCATGGGTGAAGGTAAAGTTTAGCGACTCAGAGAACGCCAGTTGGTGCAATTCCCTCATTAGAGTGATTTTGCACCAAGAATCCACAAGAATTTTCCAATACAATTTCACTGAAAATCCTTCGGGGAATATCTTGTTGGAAGCTGCTTTTGCTATAGGGAAAATTCACATTTAAGCAGAACTACCGCTGGCTGTGTGTATCTTCTGGAGCAACCTACCAGCAGTGCACTCCTCCCAATCTTTACGCATATCAACAACCCAGTGCAGTAGGCTCAATGTGTGTAGTTTGCGACCTTGCACCATCCCGATTGGCTGTAGTGTGTGTCGTGCCGACGTACACCACGACCGCTTTGAGGTGGTCGATGAACATAGGGATAGGATGTATCTCTGGGCTGGTTTACGTTGAGTACTATCCCACCGCCTGCCTATGTTACTGTATCATCGTTCACCTACTAATAGTAAAGTACAGCTCATCTACGTTTGGCGCCGACCATGCCATTCATCCATCAAGCGAAAGTGGTAGTTTAGCATGTTCAAGTGTTTTGATTGGCTACCGTGTGTGAAAAGGTATTCCCAGTCAGAAATTCTGACAGAATATATTCATCAAGAATTTCCCAATATAATCAGATCGAAATTGTGGAACTTTACAGGAAATATCACGTAGCAAAATCACTCTATTAAGAACGTCTCACTGTTGTTTTGACGCGAAATACTGTTTCAATGAGCTTTATATGGAACTTTGTATGATAAGACCATTAAGTGCATCTCAGTGGTTAGCGATAGCTAACCACTAGCGATGCAGCTAACCCCGGAGATTTAGCATTGTATGTACTCACCGGGGGTAGGGCGGAGTCCCAGGTTACAGGGCTACTGGCGAAAAGGTGTATCCCGATGTAATAATTCCCTCATTGACAAGCAGTATTTTCGGATCAAAACAACAGTGAAAATGTTTTAATGAGGGAATTATTCCTCCAGTTGACACCCATTCATTACATACTTACTGTAAAGGGTCGACACTATCAACCAATCGTCGGATATAACTCAAATACATGTGTAATCAAACAAATACTGTATAGCTCAACTTCGTACGAATCAACATACATGCATTCAACAGACACCGAGACACCACACTTAGCTCTAGAAAAGTAATTGTGTCAATCGAGGTTGTGTTGAATCAAGTGAAAGAGGTACTTCACAGGGGGGACGGACATCCATCCATTGATGCTGATGGCGGTTTGGTCAGACTTTGAGACGTTTACTCTCGATCTCCCATCATATGATGGCGCTGCATACTTCTAAAATATCTAGCACGAGTCATGCGAAGTCCATTTCAAACCCTCGCAAACCACTTAAGCTTCAGCTGAAGTCACCGGCCCTAGGCAAAATGCATATGTGCCTGAGGCGTAGTATGGATGAGAAATCTGACCTCTCAATAACCAAGGCACATTTCCAGAAAACCCAAACGACTACATTATTCATTTTTCGCATGAAGTTCCCCCTCCTTAGTGCCATTGCCCTCTTCGCGGCAGCCACTGCCGAAACCAACAACGCCGTCAGGAGCATTGACGGCCGCGGTCGATCGCTCGAGCAGGAGGCCGCTTTCCAAACCGATGCCGAAACCAACCGCGCTTGCCAAGAAAAAAATGCCAACTACATCCCGTCCCTCAAAGCTGGACAGTACACGTCCAGTGCGTTCCACAACTGTTTTCACACCATCGACCAAATCTACGAGTTCGCTGATGCGTTGGTCGAACGAAACCCGACGTTGCTGAGCAAGTTTGTCATCTCCAAGACGTACAACGGGGCCACGATTTACGGGTACAAGTTGACCAAGGGTAACGCCCAGTCGCTGTACTTTCAAGCCCAAGTCCACGCCCGCGAATGGATTGCAGGCTCGTCGATTCTGTTCTCGTTCGCGTCGATTCTCGACGATATTGCCAACGAGAAACCCACGGCCGCCGACGCGTACGACTTGTACTTTGTGCCAATCGTCAACATTGACGGTTTTGAAAGCACATGGAACGGGAACGGCACCCGGTTCCAGCGCAAGAATGCCAACCAAGTCGACTTGAACCGGAACTGGCCCACACGCATGAAGAACCCAAGCCCCCCTCCACAAGACGATGAAACGTACCCCGGGCAGAAGCCCTTCAGTGAGCCGGAAACCGCGGGCATCAATGCATGGATCGAAACCAAACGCGACGAAATCCAGGGGTACTTGGACATTCACGCGTATGGGGGGCTCCTCTTGTACCCGTCCGCAGACACCAAGCAGCCGATCGGCGACGGGTTTGACGAAAAGTTCCAAGTGCTCGGCCGTGGAATGAAAAACGTGATGGGGGAATACAAGCCTCAACCGGCGTCTGCATTGTACTTGTCGTATGGAACGTTCCGGGATTATGCTTTCCGCGAGTTCAAGAAACCCGCCTTGACGATTGAAGTGGTGGGCTATAATTTTATCACGGACGCGTCGACCATCAAGAGACGCGGCACCGAAGTGTACAAAGGCATCAACAAATTCGCCAAGGAAGTCACCTTGTTCAACGGTGGGGGGGACACCAAACCCCCGTCGCCAACATCGACCTCCAAGCCGTCCCTTACCACCGCCCCATCAGCGACCACGTCGTCCCCAGGACCGAAACCTGTGACACCGTCCCCGTCCGTAACGAAACCTGTGGAACCGTCCCCGTCCGTAACGGAACCTGTAACATCCTCCCCGTCCGTTACGGAGCCTGTAACACCATCTCCGTCCGTAACGGAACCAGTGACACCGTCGCCGGTCGTAACGGAACTTGTGACACCGTCCCCGTCCGTGTCGTGCAATGGTTGCTCGGGATGCTACTCTGCGTTGCTCTCGCACTGCTTTCCAAGAGGCTATTCCCGTGCTCAATGCGATTCGTTCAACGGCGCTGGCTACCATACCACGTGGTGTGGCAATTACTAGGAGGAGCCTTTTAATAGCCCAAGTTAAAAGTGAAACCTGACTGTGTCAATGGTTCTTATCATCAGCGGTTTGTGGTTTTCAACTTACATTACCAGTAATACAGAGCCTGGAGACTGGAACTTCGCCAACATAGTACTCTGGACTCCCAGGCAACGTCAAAATGACATCATAACGATAGTTGATATTCCGGGTACTATTAACAGTACTGGCTAAATTTAGTACTATAATATGAATGAAGCTTTGAGCGTCAAATGATCAAGTCATCAAGGTATTAGTTGTACAGGAGGCTGCGGGAAATGATCAACTTTACAATCCTCAAACGATATGGCAGTACGTTGTTGATCATCACCATACAACACGCTAGAATCAAATCGAGTTGAGCCTGAGGAAGAAAGCAACATGCACTGCTTTTAATTGCCATTTTGAAGGATTGGCATTGTCCTCAATTGATTGCGCTGAGTTGCTTGGCTCCACACAAGGCGGTTGCATAACTTTTTAAAATATGACATTTAAATGTTAGAAAATTATAACATAACATATCAGTGTATGCTACAAAATATAGCTCAAGATGACAATAATTGTTTGTCACCTTTCACGCTATATTTGAAGTTTTTCTCAAAATGCGTCTTTAATGTGCTGCTTCGTGGCTCAGAGATCACCGATCAACGCAAGCATGTACAGCAGCATTGATACTACGTAATAAAGCGGCATGGACTTATTGCGGGATATAATCACACCCAAAGTAAGCTATATTTCAGTTTTTGGCATGTTTGAGTTCACTTCACTCATGCTAAATAAGTGCAATCGCCACACATCACGTCTGGTTATATAGCCCGCAGACATCGCTTCAGTTTTCATATTAAATGTATCACGCCCAGGCAGGCCGTTGCTAAGGAATTCAACGACAAAGTCATGTACTTTCTCGATAGTTAACATTGTCATAATTTATGACAAACATTGATGTTAACTTGATGCTATATTTCGATGTTATCTTTTTAAATTATGGCATACTTATTTTATCTTAAAAATACGTAACGGTATTCTCGCGGAATGTACTGGATACTTTTCCAAAAAGCATCGTAACTGGGGGCCAAAATTTGAAGTCCTTACGTATACGTTTTGAACAGCGGAATCGAATACAAAGTCGCCTTGCACCAAAACTCGTCTCCTTCGTCTAGACATACGTTGATCCTCACTTATGTCGCCCAGGATGGCTATGTTCGTCATTTCCCGCAGCCTCCAGGTAATAAATACTACGTAGTACGTATCGAAGGACTGGACAACCGCCTGTATTGTCAAATCGATTCGAAACTTGAGCATCGAAAGTCCATGGATTAATCAACCGCCTAACACGTAAGTCAATCAAATCACGTCCTGTCGAGTTTCTGCCAATCCAAACGTTTAACCCGGGCAAAACCGTACTATTAATAGTAGTATACTACAGGGAACGACGTTTATATTGGACACAGTTGCACTATATACGATATAGGAGTTTGTATGGAGGAGCATTCTCAAATTGAATACTATATTTCATCACAGTCCAACCTATCAATCCTACTCAGATTCTTCTTATTGGCCAGTAATAGCCAATCCAAATAGATTATAATCGAGATGTATTTGTCCAATCACAAGTGTTGGTGCAAAACCAATGACCTGTGGGAAATACAATGCAGTAATGAGTTGCGCATGGGCCCAATGCGTGTGCAATGGAATTGTCATTCCCTCATTAACCAAGATTAACAGTACAATGCCAACTAGTTCGTTACATGTACGTTGTACTATTCTGGTACTAGTACAATACGAGGTAGAAATGTGACTCAACCAAGACCAATGCTGCCATGTACTTCGAACTACACAGTTCAAATGTGGCATCTTGCTGGACCACCTAGAATCTTGCAGAAACACTATAGTTTGAAGTGGTATGCCTACTGTTTAGGCACCGAACACTGTGTACTGCCAAAGCGAGGTGCAATGTACTGAAAAGTACAATGTGAATAACGTACCGTTGAGCTAACTGTAGATAATTTGTCACCATTCCAAACAAGTCGACAAAATGAAGTATATTTCTTGAGGTAACTTGAAATAAGTAATTGCAGAATGGACTATGTGAAATAAATGATGGGTTTCAGTCATAGCTTCTCACCATAATGTGACACATCCTGAAACTCCACAATCGGCAAATTACTGCCACCCTCTTGGGTATTTGTCCCATTGTATTTCCTACAAAACGCAGGGATCGGATTGGCTGTTCAATATCGATATCTATTGGCTAAAATGTACTTGTAATCTGGCCGCAGTAAGAACAATAAAAATATGGCGAGTACAACTGTGTCCAATATAACCGTCGTTCCCTGTAGTACAACGTAAATGACCAATTTATGATCACTGTACCAATTTATGATCACTCCCTTTGAGACAATCAGTACTAGTCGTTGTAGTGTGTACGAAGTACAAGCTTACAGTTAACAGTAAATGAGATCAAAGGATTCGAATGCTATTTGGCGAAATGACTCACAAGACCAAATTTGGGTGAAATGCACCACAAGGGCTGGACGTGAAGCCATCACATACAGCTTGCCAATTATTCAAGCCGATACATTGACAGTGCTAGATTAGCACTGTCGAACGACGTGAGTTGTCAACACAAAAAAGGGGATACATTTACTGATCATAGCTCCGGACACAACACAACACAAGTATTGTCAAGTCGGTTAGAAATTGGTGTCGCCAGTAGAATCGAATACACTTGGCAAATCGTTTTGAGAATGAACTACTGTAGCCAATCAAAATCTATTCAACCCCCTTTACAACATTTCGGAATGTTTGAGCCAATCAAAATCTTTTCTACTAAACTCCTGTTGCAGATTGTGAACAACAACAATCCTGGTCCCCCCACCAACTATGTAGCCGACCACTCTGTTGGCCATGTCTTCTCATACCGTTGGATCCACTTGTCGATGGTATAAATACTCACAGACTTGCCAAAGATATGAGAAACGGCAGTGCGCTTGATCCCTAGGAATTAGTAGCGCATGTATGACGGTTCTTCTGGACGTGTGTTGATGCTCGACAGGATCATGGCGTGGATTGAAATTTCGAAAAGTCCAGTGTGACCGTATTGAACAATACTACTGTTGTTTGTATACTATAGTAAATACAAGATATATTGCCAAGTTCTTTCAACGGTTTGACTTTTGAACAGTCGAAATGTAAACGGTATGAGAACGACAACAATAATACTATTAAGTTAGTATGACCATGGAGGTTTTGAAACCGTTTACAACGACTCATACGACTGTGGTGTCATAACTACAAGACAATGGGCAGACCAAGCCAAGTCAGTCAGGCAGCCACTTGTTAACACAAGAATCCCGTCAATAGTTGTGTACTACGTCATATTAATACTACCAGATAACAAGGTAGAATGTTTTTATTATTATTATTCTTGCCTAGAGTCTCCATGTAACTTCTTTATAATGGCAGTACAATTTATGCATATACTGAAACCAAATCGGCATGACCTATATAGCAAAAACATCCTCCCTTTATCTAAACTCGCCCTTATAACTAACCTAGCAACTACAGTACTACTATTAATTGTAGCAACTACACTAGTACAACTGCGATACAGTAAACGACGTCGTCAAATCTAACTGGTCGTTCCAACACTGGAATGGATTTCGTGACGGTTAGAAAGGACGTTCTCTACACTTTGGGTACGCCTCCGTGGGGAAATAACGGGTCATCGACTGGGGGTACAACGTCGAGTTCGTAGTCGTCGGGTTTCGTAGCAGACGTTTTGTTCAAATGGCTCGTTTTGCTTTGTACGTTGGCAAAGATCGACAGCGCCGACGCCACCATACTCGCGGGGTCGCTCGCGTTCGCCGGTAGCAACAACTAGCGTCCCAATTATAAAAAACAAATACAAAACAGAGAATGTCTAAGGGTTCGTCTGGTAACCAGAAATATTGCAATATTCAGGCCCAAAGCGCCATTTTACGGCCGAATTCAAGAAATCTGATCAAAATTGAAACATGTCTTGAAGAGGTTTAACCCAAATCCAATAATTCCACGTGGGATATACTCGTTGAAGAGGTCCAAAACGCTACATTACAAAATGGACCTTTTACCTCCATTTTGAAAATGACATTTTTGGTTAATCCCATTTTGCGAGAAAATGGAATATTATTTTTGAAATGTTACCAGACGAACCCTAAATATATATATATATATATATGATGATGATGATCATATTTACCGTCGTGCTTTCCTTGGCCACGTTACCAAACGCGTCCACGTATTTCTCCGCGAGTTGAAGCGCCACGGCTTGCTCGCCGCCTAGTGGATAGAATACAATTAATATATATATATATATATATATATATATAGTCAAAAGTCGACTTCGAAATTGGAGAGTTTAGGTGGTCATTCGAATGGGCTACGTACATATCAACCGACACTCGATCGCCAAATCAAAATCCAGATCACGACTCAAGTGGCCAATAAAAAAATTCCATTATGTCAACCAATTTCACATTGAATTTGTGTGGTACTGAAATTAGTGTGACACTGGACTATCGTTCTAAACTCAGTACACATATACACATATTTGGCAAATCCAAAGGTCACATTTACTTAGGTAACAAGATATATACATCAAACCAACCCGTCGATTGAATTGCCGCCGAGAGTTGCTTGATGGCCTCTGCGGACGCCGTCGCCCGCGCCAAGATGGCGGCAGCACTTCCTTCCGCCTCGAGCACAATTGCCTGCTTCTTACCCTCCGCCACGTTAATGTACGCCTGGCGTTCCCCTTCCGAGTCTAGAATTTCCGCGCGCTTCTTTCGCTCCGCTTCCGCCTGCATGTCCATCGCCGCCTTGACCGACGTCGGCGGCGCAATGTCGCGGATTTCATACCGGAGACATTTGATGCCCCATGCTTCGGATGCTTGGTTGATGGACGCAACTATATATATATATATTGTCAAATCGATTCACTAGTCATTGTATAGTTTGTGTACACGTTTAAAGTAGGGGTCATCGAATGGATTCACACGCTATTTGGCGAAATAACTCAGGTAAAAAAACGCAGAAATGCACAATATATATATATATGGTGATGTGTATGAATGGGGACACGTATCGGCAAGAAGAATTGAGTCCATCCGATTGCAGGAAAGAATCAAATCCACCAATCAACATCGAATTCGTGGGATGGGCATTTCCGCAAGACAAAGTTCAGTACAAACATTCGATCGATGGATTTGGCAATATCAGCACAAAAGTCGAAATTTTAGGTAAACGGGCACTATATATAATCCATATAATGGATCGATCGATAGATCAATACAAAATGTTAAAATAATTTATTAGAGAAAATGACCCTGGACGAGAACGACGACAAGGTAGAAAAATCTAGCCAATCAGGTTGTCGAAAACCATTCGGATCCACCATCAATTAGTGTATGATGGAGATTGAAAATAATTGCGAGAATGATATGGACCGATTCAAAGGACATTTCGACGGCGGCGGGACCATATTCGCCATGAAAGAAGTAAAGCAGACTCAAGATGCACGTCATGCATAGATGGAGGGAGGAGCGACAAGAGGTGTGCTTGAAGATGGGGAAGGAAGGCTGGAAGGTGCAGCGTACCAATGTTCTTGTTGAGGTGTTCGCGCTCTTCAAAGGTCTTATCGAGGGTGATTTTGCCGAGCTCGGACCGCATGGTTGTCTGCGCGAGTTGCGTCACGGCGTAGATCGGGTCTTCCACGCCGTACGACGCGTTGTATGGATCGACAATCTGAATGTCGATCAGATACGACACACAACGACGAGGACAAGGGCGGGACAGTGTACCTTGACGTACAGCACCCCGTCGATGTGAATGGTCACGTTGTCCTTGGTGATGGCCGACTGTCCTGGGATCTTGATGGCTTCTTCTTTGAGCGAATGTACGTACGCGACACGATCGACCACCGGGATGAGAAAGTGTAGCCCCGGTTCCAGTGTCGTGTGGAACCGGCCAAAGCGCTCGACGACCCACTGCAACATACAACAACATTAAGGTCAGATGTGTAGAGCATAGTCGAGTGGAACGAGATGGATGCACGTACAGCTCGCTGTTGAGGCACAACCAATACACCCTACATAGAATCGACACCATGAGTGGCAAGGACGGCACGTCATCGAGTACCAAGTTCACGGGAGTCTCGCGGGACATGCTGTCGAAGTCGTCCATGCGCATGAGTTGCCGAGACACATGAAATGGGCGCATTGCGCGCGTGACGGACCGGCCGGCGGCAAGTGATCTGGTCAGCAGCATCATGCAAACAGGAATGCTGCGGTGGCAGATCGCTGGCGAATCGACTTGCGAAGAGAGGAATTTGATTGGTCAAAATTAAGGACATGCAACTTTTTTATTGGTGGAAATACTGCTATTCAAGTGGTATTATTATTACAATTATTATAAATAATTCTGAAGCATTATTTCTACCACCAGCATACCAGTATATAGGTTTGGAGATTGTCGATTCGATACAAATAATTTCCAAATCCCGTTATCGAATCACAAATCGACGCTGTTGGCTAATCCAATTTTGAGTGGATTTGATTGGCTCTTACAGAAATGACAATATTGAACCAATCAGACCTCCAGCTTGATTCAAGAGTACCTCTATTGATGTAGTATTGATTGGACAAACCACGCGAATTTTGGACCTTATACTACTGATCTCCACCCTTAAACGAAACGGAGCAAATTATGCAATTCACACAGTAAATTAACTCTTACAGGTATTTGCAGGCTGTCTGAACCAACCATTTATACATGCATTCAAGCGCTGGGCGTCTCCAAGTCAGAGCTGAGTATGCCAGTGCGTCTCCAGCAGTTTCTCA